CAGAGACGACATGTTTTATTTTTACAAATTGTTTGATGTGATAGCCAGTCATTGGACATATTCACAAGAGACTACCAATATACTTTTAACAACATCAAAGTTTATCACACACAAAAGAAAAATAAAAAAAACATTTACACTATATAAGAATTAGTTGAAACAATTTTAGATTCAACCCTTTCAACCTCAAACAATCTTACATGTATTCAAAACCCAGTGAGGGGTCACCTAATTTCCACTTTAAAGTTCTTTGTTCAGTTAAAATGATTATAATTGGTTTCTTTCTGGAAAACATCAGTATTCTCCATTAGTTATTGTCTCTTCATGAGATCCTTCAATTGCCAACAGTTTACTTACTCCTTAACATGTGTTCCTTAAACTCATGCATTCAACAGCCGTGTAGGATGTCTTCCCCGCTGACATCTTAAAGCGTTCTGTTTTTGAAACATCTCTCTTACTAACTTCTAAGCCACTTAAAACGTCTTTTCTTCTGCCTTTATTGTTTTTGAGACTGCTAAACTGTAATGATGATACATATCTTTTTCCTTCAGAATGACCTATTTCTATCCAAAAGAAGTCTGCTCACATACTGACCTGCTGGATGGTTCTCTCCTTCTATCGGAAAGGAAAATTATCTTTGACTCTATCTCCCTGTGTCATAGCATATCTGGCAACAGCCCAATTTTTTCCTCTTCTACCCTTGTTTCCAACTACACAACTCAAAATTTGTTTATAAAAGCGTATTTTAAACGCATGTAAACAAATGTCCAGATAATCCTTCAGCAGAGCGGTAATGTAAAATGAGAATAAAACTATGTTCTTCCCTTAACCAACAGAATGTAGAAATTCAAATCAAAATTAAAGCTATACATTGTTCTGTCCTTTACAATACAAATTCCAAATAATAATAATACATTACAAACCTTTCTTACGCCTCCCTGCAGAAAAAGTCAACTTTGAGGCATTTACATTTTTCTATTACACATTTTTTTTAACCACTACATTTATTTTACTTAAACAAATTTAACTTTGACTAAAATAATATTTACATTAAATGGACAGGACTTTCCATAATAATCATATTACACAAGTCAATTTTGGTCATAACACTTGTTTTCTTCCACCATGCCTCTTGATGCTATCTGCTTAATATTGTCTTTTCTGGTGGTATGAATGATTTTTAGATTGTACGGTTGCAACATTAAACTCCAACGAAACAGGCTCATATTCTTGTTATGAAATCTTTCAAGAAAAGTCAAAAGGTTACGATCTACAAAGTTGTTAGATATGTAGATTTCAAAGTGCTGTAAAGCCAATACAAAACTCAGTCTCTTTCTCCACAGAATAATTTGGCTGGTGTAATTTAACTTGCAAGAAAAATAACTGGCTGTTCAATTCCCATCTCATCCCCCTGCAGTAACACTGGAATCACGACAAAGCGAGGGCTCATCCAGGATCAAACTTCATTGAATTTAAGAGGATCTGTGAATTTTTAAAGAAACAAGTACACTAAGGGACTGAGCATAAAATCAGAAGAGGAGTTTTCAAATATGTATATGTTGAAATATAATATCACACAAAAACAGCCAGTTGGCCCCAATCTTAGCTAAAATGTAGGATTTACATGCATTTGGAGATGCAAGGACTGATTAGGGATGGTCAGCATGGTTTTGTGTAAGGAAAATCAAGTTTGTGAGACACAATTTGAGTTTTTTGAGGAAGTAACCAAGAAGATTGAGAGCAGAGCAGTAGATGTTGTTTATATGGACTTTACTAAAGCCTTTGACAAAGTTCTGCATGGTAAACTAATTAGTAAAGTTAGGTGGTTTCAGTAGTCAGTGTAAATGGGTTATCGTAATTTGCAGCTGCTAAAACTAGTGCAATAGTCAGTACAGCTTTCAAGTTGTCAGAGGTCTCTGACATGCTTTTGCCTATTATAATTTCTTATCTTTCTTTATCAACCTGTCAAAGACACCACTACAGCGCTAAAATTCAGAATGAACTGTATAAAATCCACTCATGCCGAAATACCACGATATTTTGTGCTTATCTTAGACATGGCAGTTTTGAAATTAGCCCTAACATTGCTTTTTCTAAGAACTATTTCACCTTGTTCTGTGCAGCCCAAATAAGTCAGAGTCATATAACATGGAAACGGACCCTTCAGTCCAACTAGTCCATGCCAACCATGTTCCCATATCCCTTTCCTTTTCATGTACTTACCCCAAAATATTTTAAATGTTGCAACTGTACCTACATCGACAAATTCCCCTGGCAGTTCATTCCACACATGAACCACTCTGTCTAAAAAAAAAGTTGCCCCTCATGTCCTTTTTAAATCTTTCTCCTCTCACCTTAAAAATATGCTCCCTAGTTTTGAACTCCCCCACCCTAGGAAAAAGGCCTTTGCTATTCACCTTATCTATGCCTTTCACAATTTTATAAACCCCTATAAGGTCACCACTCAACCTCCTACATTCCAGTGAAAAAAGTCCCAGCCTATTTTTAAACTCAAACCATCCATTCCTGACAACATCCTGGTAATGTTTTCTAAATCCTCTCAAATTTAATAATAGCCTTCCGAAGGGTGACCAAAACTGCACACAATACTCCAGAAGAGTCCTCACCAATGTCCAGTACAATCTCAACAAGACATCCCAACTCCAATTCTCAAAAGTTCTGAGCATCGAAAGCAAGTGTAAACACCTTCTTATCCAACCTGTCTACCTGTTACACAAACGTCAAAGGATTATGTTTCTGTTCTACAACACCAGGGTGGCACAGTGGTTGGCATTGCAGCCTCACAGCACCAGGGACCCAGGTTCGATTCCAGCCTCGGTCAACTGTCTCTGTGGAGTTTGCACATTTTCCCTGTGTCCGCATGAATTTCCTCCAGGTGCTCTGGCTTGCTCCAATAAAGATGTGCAGGGCCAAGGTAAATTGCCCTGGGAATCCAGGGAATTGCAGGCTCGGTGGATTAGCCATGGGAAATGCAGGGTTACCGGGATAGGGTAAGGGGTGAGTCTGGGTGGGATGCTTTTCGGAAGTGTGGACTCGATGGGAGAAATGGCCTGCTTCCACACAATAGGGACTCTATAATTCTATGACACTACCCAGGGCCCTACCATTAATTGTACAAGTCCTGCCCTTGTTTGTTTCACCACAATGCAATACCTCACATTTATCCAAATTAAACTTCATTTGCCACTCCTCAACCCATTGACCCAACTGATCAAGATCTTTTCGTAATCTTAGATAACCTTCTTCAATGTCCACTATACCAGCCAATTTTGATGTCATCTGCAAACTTAATAACCGTGCCTCCTATGGTCTCATCTGAATCATTTACATAAATGACAAACAAAAGTGAAACCAGTACTAATCCCTGCGGAAGACTGCTGTTAAAGGCCTTCAGTCTAAAAACAGCCATCCACCACCACCCTCTGTCTCCTACCATCAAGCCAATTTTGTATCCTATTAGCAAGCTCAACCTGAATCCCATGTGATCTAACTTTACTAATTAGTTTACCATGCAGAACCTTGTCAAAGGCTTTAGTAAAATCCATATAAACAACATCTACTGCTCTGCTCTCAATCTTCTTGGTTACTTCCTCAAAAAACTCAAATCAAATTTGTGAGACACAATTTTCCTCACACAAAACCATGCTGACCATCCCTAATCAGTCCTTGCATCTCCAAATGCATGTAAATCCTACATTTTAGCTAAGATTGGGGCCAACTGGCTGTTTTTGTGTGATATCATATTTCAGCATATACATATTTCAAAACTCCTCTTCTGATTTTATGCTCAGTACCTTAGTGTACTTGTTTCTTTAAAAATTCACAGACCCTCTTAGATTCAATGAATTTTGATCCTGGATGAGCCCTCGCTTTGTCGTGATTCCAGCTGATGGTAGTACTGGACAAGTCAGATTCCAGTGATGATAACATCACGTGAATGCACAAGTTTGTCAGAAAGAAACCAACCATGTACAAACTGCACAAAGAACTTCAAGATGGAGACAGGTGAGCTTTAACTTAAGTTTGAATATGTGAAAGGTCAACAGTAAAAGGGTTGCATCTTTATTTCTGAAATTTTCATAAACTGTTTCAAATAATTCTTATATAGTGTAAAATTGTAGTGTTTGTTTCCTTTTGTGTCCAATAAAATTTGATGTTCTTTTGTTAAAAGAACATTAGCACCCTCTTGTGGCTACGTTCAGTGACTGACCACAATGGTAAACAAGTTACAAAAATACCGTGTATCACCCCTGGTTTCACTCTGGGATCTGACTTGTTTAGGATTACCATCAGCTAGGAGTATAACATCATACAAATTCCCATTTATGACAACTATCGCAGCTTCTTGCAAAAGATAAAAGCCCTTAACAACAGCTTTTCTTTTTAAAAAGGAAGTCATCTTCCATTCCTCAGCAAACGTATATGCTAACCTGTCCACTATTCTCTGTCAATTGCCGCGTTGACATTGTAGAGATGCTTGTACATTCTGCAATTCGCTGAGTTGTCAGAAGCTCTTTGCTCCTGGTACAGAGATACACGATAGCAAAATCAGGGGTGAGGTGCCAAAGTGCAGTGCAAAAAGGTTCTTAATTGCAGAGAATAGCCAAAGGAAGACTGCACATCTGACTAGATATGAAGGCAGAACACAGCTACAATGGCAAGGTGATCTTGGTAACTGGAGTTTGATATGTCAAAGTCTGACCACCAACCCATTAAGATTGTATGGACAATGATGATGCCCATGGCCCCAACATTAAATGAAGTAATGTACAAGCACCTACCAAGGTTAATTTGTCAAGTTATGTGCAAATGGAGGATTCCCAATGTGGACAGGGCTATGAACCTGGTCAAGAATCTACACACAGGTAACAGAAGCATGAAAACCACTGGTCTCGTGTGTTGGGACAGAGGTGTCTTTGAGCAGCAGCATCTGTGACTGAGAAATCCTCATGTAAACTCTTCTCATCCAAATGGGGAGAGGACGAGAAAAGATGCCCTAAAAATAGACATTGCATTTATTCCTGGTTGGGGAAATATCCCACTAGGATTACCACTTTAATGTTCAAAGACAGAAAATACTTATCCTTATCACTGCTTGGTGCACATGATGAATAACAATGGGCTTTCTGTCCTGTTTCTTTCACTTACTTCAAACAATACCAGACTGAGATGCAACATAACTTCAACAGTAGAAGGTAAATTTCAAATGCCACCAACAACACTGTTGCAGAACTTCATCTCCCAAGTCTTAAACTGTCAGCACGAGACAGTTCACCTTCAAAACACCATGGGGTAGAATGTACTGCCCATAAAGTACATATACAAACAGATCTTCAAACTGAACACCCACAGCATTTGTGATGAAACCCTACTCTGCTCCCAAACAAGTATACAGGTAATGTACCAGCTACTTGGATAATGCTGACGTATGCTCAAATCAGAAGTGCCAAGTGGATGATCCATCTTGCCACTTTTCAAGGACCCTGGCATCACAAATGCTAGTCTTGAGTCAATTCAATTCATTGCACGTGATATCAAGAAATGGCTGAAGGCTCTGGATACTGTAAAGTTTATGGGGCCTGGCAACATTCCAGCAACAGTACTGACGACCTGTGCTCCAACTACCTGTTCCAATATAGCAACAACACTGGCATCTTCTCAGCAGGACAAATCCAATGCAGCATGCACTGCCCCACCAATCTACTTTCGAGTATCAACAAATTAATGGAACAGAAAATTGCCAGTGCTATCAAGTGGCATTTGCCCAGCAGATACAAATGGTTGTGGTCACTGAAGATCAGTCATCTCATTCCCAGGATATCACTGCAGGAATTCCTCAGGGTAGTGTCCCAGGGCCAACATTTTCAGCTACTTCAATGGCCTTCCTTCCAACATGACGTCAGATGGGGGATATTTGAAGAAAATTGCTCAATGTTAAAAACTACTTGCAATATCTCAGATACTGAAGTAACCAGTGTCAATTGCAACAAGACTTGGACAACATCCAGGCTAGCGCCAATAAATGGCAAACATTTGTGTACACAAGTATCAGGCAATAACCATCTCAAACAAAAAAGAACTTAACCACCTACTCTTGAAGTTCAATTGAATTATCATAATTAAATCCACAACTGTTAATTTGTCAGGGTTACCATTGATCAGAACCTGAACTGGACTAGCCAAATAACGTGGACACAACAGCAAGTCAGAGGCTAGGAATTTTACAGCATATAACCGTGGCTGTCTACCATTTACAAGTTAGGAGTATGATGGAACACTGTTCACTTGCCTGGATAGGTGCAGCTGCAACAGCATTCAAAAAGCTCAAAACCATTGAGAACAAGATAGCCACTCGACCGGCACTCCCATTCACCATCAACACACAGTGGCAATAACGTGTACCAACTATATGATGCACTGCAGTAACTCATCGAAGCTCCTTCAGAACTGTGGGTGTACTGACAGCCCATGGACAGGAGCAATTTGTGAAAGGAATCTCACCACCATTCTCAAGAGCTATTAAGGATAGACTTTTAAACACTGGCCTAGCCAATGCCCACATCCCATGAACAAATAAAAAAATTTCAACTTTAATGCCATTTTATAGACGCTAACAAGGACCTCCTTTAGAAACACAACACAACCCAAATAGAAGAATGGTAAAAGTTAATATGAGAGGTGCTCCTCCAGCATCAAAGATGGTAGTGCTGGTAGCACATTTATTAAGTAACAATAACTGGATAACATCAGCCAGGATTTCATCTAAATGTGTGTATGGATGTGTTCTGGTTTTTGTGCAGACAGTGAAGAAGCAGACGTGTGAGATGAGCAAATTCAATTTCAGGCAATTCTACGTAAACTAACCATAGTCATTCTGCTCCATGAATATTTATTCTGTTTGCAGAACCTGATTAGATGGTACTAGACTATGATTTAAATGAGCAACAGCTGAACAGAAGGCATACACCTTTGAACACCCCAACCAAATCTATAATCTAAATTTCTGATCCTCATGTGTAACAGCACTAAGTTTGCAAAGCTTTGGCAAGTACTTCTGTTCAGCAATGTAAGCCCCTATGCATATTCTATAAACAAAATACACCATTTCACTAATTAAACTAACTTAAGATCTTAAAAATTAAAACATATATAAGCTAATACATCCACAATTTCAGCATTAGACTAATTTTACTATGTAGGCTTATGTACATCAGCATATACTGCAATATTTTGCCAATGTTCTCAGCACAGTCACAATTTCATTTCAGAGCAGGTTAAAGAATGTACTGAATGAAAATATATGGAAGGCAACTAGCAGTGGGAAAGACTTTTGGAAATGCTTACAAAACCAAATTTAGTCATAATGGGGCTCCTTTATACTTCACACACAGATTATCTGACGAGAGATCAATCCCAAAGATAGTTGCACCAAATTATCTACTTTCTATCCATTAAAGATGCGAAATCTTAGTGAAACAAGACAATTAAACATAATCACTATAGTATATCATACCAAAACAAATTCCAAAAACAAAATAAAACAGCAGTTGATTTTTGAAGTCTTACAATGGTTTCTGTGCTTATATTCTTTTCTTCAACAGCTTTATTCATTTTTTTCACATGACAAAAGAAAGAAAAAAGATATCTACTAATTTAGTTGACCTTTTTTTAAGAAGAGTATTTTACAATAGTAAAGAACAATGACTTACTGTTTGGGCACCGACTGTAAAGACCACCTTTCCAGCAGCAAAGCATCCTGTTTGATAGCAGGGTCGTTTATATCACTCCCCTCAGTGGATGGACCGTCAGCGTCACTATAGCAACAGTCGGGAAGCAACATCACTTCAACCATGATGGAAGTATTATTCCTCCACAGAAGCAAAACCTGAGACCTGGTTCTTCTAGCCTGACAACACTGTCAAAATACAGGATGAAGAAGTAAAGAAATTGAGCCAACTTGAAAACAAAACTTTTCAGAATCAAAATCCAAGAGTCCACATTGGCAAGTTATTGATTTATGTTTTCAGTTGAAAGAAATTACGATTTAATATGAATTGGATATATTCTATTAAAAAAGTTTGATAAAATACATACTTGTGGCACTTTTTCAATGCATTCGTGTTTTCTACTTAACGACTGTCCAAGTTGTGCTGGAGGGCAATGAAATCCTTCTGCACGACCTTTCACCGAACATTCTGGAGTGCGCCCCTCAGTTATCAGCAAGGTCAAGGAAAGCAAAAACTCCTCAGCATCGTATTCAAAATACTCATCTATTGTATCTACAAGAAAGAATAAGTATTTAACTACACAGGATTCCTTATAACTCCTATTATTAGCCATCCCTATGTTATTGCACACGAAAGGTTGCAAAAAACAAGCTGGAAATCCTAAACAATGTTAATCACTGCAGGAGGCAGCTCAGCAAATTCTTGAAGCAAAATAAATATATTGACCCATAATATGGGCTATCCATGATTATTGAAAAAGAGGGCTAAAATGTAAAAAATTGAAAAGGATCATTTGTAGTCATCCCAGATGTTTATGACAACTAAAATAATCCAAGACTTTTTCCAGAAGCTCTTTTAATTCAAACTGAAGTTTGGCAGTCGTTTATTTTATTTCCATAAGACCATAAAACCCTGAGCATCAGGCACCACTAAGAAACTTAATTACCTTTGGTACAGATTAAAAAAGAGCAAACAGCATTAATTTACTAATTGTGAAAGCCTCTGTTCCTCTTTCAATGCCAAAATGCCTATATCACACACACAGTGAAGAATTCACAATGAATATATACTGGGTCCTTTGTTACCAGCTGTTACCAAAACCAGCCAAAAATTAGTAGCGGTAATTAAAATTCAGCAATTCGTGCAACTGTCATTATGCAAGTTGTGGAGTCCGTTATGGTTTTTACTGTAAATTCTGTGATCAAATTATCTTTATGCAATAAGACATCACTCTTTGTCAGAGTTTTCCAGCTCATTTTGTAAAAATCAAAGAAAGCAATCAAAAATATAGCCCAGGATTCTTCAAAACTACATCTGCCTGATCATAAAGTTAGTTTGTACAGTGCAGAAATTAAATTATCGCAACAAAATGTACATCCAAAATGGCAACATCAGCACTGTCAGTGGTGTTAAGGCTTCTGAACCCATTCGGCCGCATCCTTCTCTTTCTCATCTTTGTCTTTTCTTCATTTTCTGATGTCATGGGAAAGCTGGAACGGTGCTCAGCTATGGCAGTGGCGGTGCCCACAGGAGGCCCAGAGCATGGACTTGGCATGTCATCAGTGGCAGTGCCTGGTGCAAAGACTCTTGGCCACAGGGAGGCCCAGAGAATGGACTCACCGGGTCGTCAGCTGCGGTGATGGCACTGCCTGGTGCAAGAACTCCTGGCTGCGGTAGTCCCAGAGCGTGGATTCAGCGTGTCGTTCTCTATGGCGGTGCTCACTGGGCTGTTGGCTCCTGGTTGTAATAGGCCTGAAGGGACCTTGCAGAAACCCTGGAGCTGTGTTTAAAGGCCCCTTGTACAGAAGATGAACTCTATGTAATTTCTTTTTATTCTTTTTGTAACTCAAAACGGCACCAAATTGTGGCGACAAAATGCTTTTCACTGTATCTTTCTAGATATATATGACAATAAATAACTCATTATACTCAAAGTCATTCTGTATGCAATGCAATGGAAAGTAACCTGTATTCAATTGTCAGAGCAGAGGCAGTGTTACTATGATGTGTCTGGATTATACATTTCTTCAATTTGTTTTACAACATACTAAAAGTTTAGGTCTGTTGTAGAAGGCACTTTCTTGGGTTCAGTAGCATCAGTTACTTCCGTATGTAATCCGAATGCCATATTTTAGTGAAGTTGGCTTATACTGCCCTAACCGTGCTTATACAATAACATAATCCAGGGATGGTTTAGAGCAGCATTTGCATATTCGCTGCCTTATTTTACACACATATGCACACACAGACATGTCTTTTACAGTTATATTTCCTCTCATTGTTCATTCAGCTGCTTTATTCCAAATCCAGCGAACATAAAGGTCAAATTAGGACAGATGAATCCATACAAAAATACAGATTTATTTCAATCAGTGCTTATCGCTTCACATAACGCGCATACTCCACACATCCTCACATGAATGTGTTGCCTTACTTAAACATAACAACCACAGGGAGTACTGTGAGTTATCTTGTGAGGTCTTCTGAGTTTGGTCTCTTCAAAGATGGGGATCAAAGGATTTTTCAACCTACTGAGTCCAAGGTTTTTCTTAAAAAAAAAATACTCAAACAAGCTAATAAATTACTGATTGTTTACACTTTGGGACAAATAGTTAGAATGGGTAACATCTTTTGCTTGAGAGCCTTTCCTAAAAATTAAGCACATTTGCAACATTAAAGTAATTCATTTTCAAATCCCTTCTGTGGAAAATAGGCAAAGCTTCCAATTTATTTACTTTTCAAGTGAAGTCACTTTCGTTTTGGAACATTAGGTACTTTCAGCTACATTTGCCAGAGAGATGAATGATCAGTCTTGAGTGGTGGCAAAACGATGAATCTTTATCAGAAGTCCTTCATCCTCTGTGCCATCTAACCAAAAACGCAGTTAGGCCTCATTCTAATATCTTACCCAAACTATAAGACGTTCAATAATACAGCCTTCTCTGAACACTTTATTTAAAAAAAAAATTCAAATATCATGCAAGCAGAATTTTCAGTCAGAATCCAAGACCCTGACATTGAGGCAAGATAGAAGCTCAGAAAATCGTAGTGTGATGTAGAGTCATCTGTTGTGATTTCACTCAGAATGGCCAAATTAATGGCCACAATGCAGGTGCAATATCCAATTAAAGATGGGAAGCTGGCTTTCAAAGCTGAAAGGCCAATAAGAGACCCTCCAGAACAGGGGATCTGGCAGATTGCCTTTTCAAGTACAAAGTGTGGGAACCCCAAAACTTTCAAAATAAAGAAAAACACTGCTAGCAGCTAGTCCACCACCGTGAAGGGGAACCTCTAACACAATCGTGTCTGCATTTGGAGGCAGGGAGGATCTGAAAGCCTGCCAGGAGTGCTGGTTCCCTGGCCTGCAGCTGGGAGGTTGGCCAAAGGTAGTTACACAGTTCACTGAAAATTTAAATTATCCTTTAACAATAGGCATTAATAATATTTCAATAAGGTCAACTGGCACAGGTAGCAGTGCTGCTTCCACTTCCCAGCTCTGGGTAAAGGCCTAGTACAAGATGGTGCTGGAAAACCAGCATGCCAGCTTGAATCTTCACACCTGTATGTTTCTGTATTGCTTGCTCCCATCTGTTCACAACCTGGAGTGGGGACTAAATCTCGACTCTTCTGATTTAGAAGTGACAGCAAACTGCTATGGATCTTAAAAATGGACCATTTTGGAAGACATGAAATATATAATCTTTGTATGTAAATTTAGATGAAAACTTCACCTTTCAAATTTATCACAAGTTTTCCGAAACAACAGCAATATAAAGCAGCATTTCATCAGCCACTTATTTCACAAATAGGAATAAAATTTTCAAGGCAAGGACAATAAGTACTATTCATGCAGTAGGCTCTTTTGTTATCAAACCACTGCTAATCTAACAATATAGTTACTGTTACTTACAGTGACAAAGAAATTGTCGTATGAAAAGGAAATACATGCTTACTGAGGCACAACTAGTTCAGATAAATGCCAAAAAACTATAATTTCAGGATGCTGTACTTACTAATAAAAAAAAACACGGCTGGTCTGGCAGCATCTGCGGAGACAAAGCAGAGTTAACACTTCGGGTCCAGTGACCCCTCTCAGAACTGACTGTACCTATATGCTGAAGAATTTTTTTGTGGGGTGGGGTCATGTGTCAGTAAACAATAGATGGAGAGAAAGAAAAATCAGTTGGGCTGACAAAGGAATGGCTAAAGGTCAGTTTGGGAAAATGAATAGCTGCTAATAGGGGTTATTAGAAGCTGACAATGGGTTGTTTGTGATAGCAGCCCATGCAATAACAAGGCCTGGTGTGTGGGGGTTGGGGTAAGAATGTGGGAGAAAAAATGTTCAAGCCCTGAACTTTTTGAACTCAATATTGAGTCCAGAAAGTTGCAGGGTTCCTAAGCAGAAAATGGGGTGCTGTTCTTAGCCTGTGCTAAGCTTCACAGGAGCAATGTTGTAAGCCCGAGTCAGAGATGTTGGCCGGGGAATATGGTAGTGTGTTGAAATGGCAGGCAACTGAACTTTTAGGGTCATTTTTGCTGACAGAATGTAGGTGCTCTGCAAAGTGGTTGCCCAGTCTGAATTTCGTCTCCTCAGTGTAGAGGAGACCACTTTGCGAGCAGTGAATACAATAGACTAGATCGAGCAAAGTGCAGGTAATTCACTGCTTCACTGGAAGCTGTGTCTGGGTCCTTGGGTAGCAAGGACAGAGGAAGTAAACGTGATTGCAAGGGAAGATGCCAAAGGAGTGTGGGGAGGTGCTGGGAGTACAGGAGGCGTGGATCAGGGTGTCCCCAGGGGAATGGTCCCTGTGGAAGGCTGACAAGGGAGGGGAAGGGACGGGAATGCGTGTCTGGTGGTGGCAGAAATGGCAGTTAATGATCTTTTGGATGTAGATGCTGATGCCGGTAGGTGAGGACGAGAGGACCTTATCATTGTGAGAGGGAAAGAGGCAGTGAGGACTGAGGTGCAGGAAATGGGTCAGATATGGCTGAGGGCCCTGTCAACCACTGTGGCGGAGAATCCTCTGTTGAGGAAGAAGGTGGATATTTCAGAAGCCATGTTGCAGAACTTGGCATTATCGGAACAGATGCAACGGAGGCAGATGAACGAGGAGAACGGAACAGAATCTTTACAGGAAGCAGGGTGTCAGGATATATAGTCAAAGTAACTGCGGGAGTCAGTGGGTTTGTAGTGGATATTGGTGGCCAGCCTATCCTTAAAATTGGAAGCAGATGTCAAAAAGGGAAGGGAGGAATCAGAGATGCACCAGGTGAAGGTGAGAGAGGGTTGGAAATTGAAAGCAAAATAGATAAATTTTTCCAATTCCAGACAAGACAATGATGTCATCGATGTACTGGTGAAAGAGATGGGGGGGTGGGAGCCAGAGTAGAACTGGAACAAGGGATGTTTCATGTACCCACAAAGAGACACAATCATAACTGGGGCCCATGTGGGTACCCATGGCCACATCTTTGACCTGAAGAAAGTGGAAGGAATTAAAGGAGAAGTTAGTTAAAGTGAGGACAAGCTCGGCCAGGCAGAGGCCAGGCAT